CAACGAATGTAGATGTAAATAAAAAAAATGAAAAATCAAGGAAATGCAATTAATTAAAATCGCGTGTAAATTTCTGCGATCCGGCGCGAATCCGGCTCTAAAGCTATAGAAATACTTCAAACTAACGAGTGGGCCGTTTTTATTTTCATGTTTCGTGGAAATGCGCGGCCTCCGAGGGATATTGCAGAAGCAGCACAGTTGCTCTTGAGTTCTGGCCCTCGTCATCATCTTCGGTTCTTATTTTGCAGCACCTAAAATGTTATCCGCATCAGGAAATTGCGTTTTACTTGTATTCCAAAGCGCAATTACAGGACTTGGCAAAGTGCCAAGAGAGCCGCACGCGACACGCGCGCACACGACGGATGTTAGCATGAACGGGGGAGTCTGCGCCGCAAAAGGTATTGGGCGGAGCATGGAGGAATTAGCGTGTTTCACGGTCCTGTATCTCCATTCCTGCGCATGTTAGGACGGGGAAACCGCTACGCTTCGACAGCTGGGGGGCTGATAGTCACGCACACCCAAACTATGTGTGATCGTACCATGTGTCTTTAACACATTTCCCATAGATAGCATTACTGAATCTCGAAATAGCTGCGGAAAAGTTTGATACGAGATTTGAAAAAAATGTCACAAACTTTCGAGAGAACCTAATAGTATTCTGTGTCGATTTCTTTCACGCCACGTCGTCTTCGCGGCTGCCCACTGTGAAGCTGCCTTTCATTTGTATTTTGCATCCGTTGAGCTTACTTCGATAGCCCACTGTCATGTGGACGTTAACACCGCCATACCTGCTGCTTTACAGGAACTGGGTTTTGTAATACAAGAGAAACGAGCTTGCGAGATTGTTTGAGAGGCCATGGTCTACAACACTTTACCTGCTAATCTACCGAATCATGTTTTGGAGGTACAAAACGCTAAAGATATACACTCGTTTTCGCTGCAGACGATGGGGCGTGGCTTCAGCCCATTATCCACCAATTATTGCAGCGGGCAAGCGACAACATTTGGTGGAAAACGTGCTGGTGTTGGCACTACCCAAATCCAGCTTGTCTGACGCGTCCCAGAGCCTTCAGCAAAAACGACTGAATGTTTCACACAATGTATTTCAAACTGTGCGAGCAAGCTAAAATATAAATTTTACAAGTAGAACTCAAACTGACGGCTTTTTCACATGCTCCTATGGCTGGCCTTGTGCACGTCACCATATGAGAACGTGTACAACCACTGCGACAGCATTGAGCAGCAGTGACTATTCTTATCTGGAACTTAGTTTGATCACTTAAAACCGGTGCCGTTGGGTGACCTGATCTGCCAATATTCAGGCCGCCCTCTTGGACGAGCTGTCTCGACTGCCAACGCCAAGGAGTCAGTCAGTCACCGCTCAACCGTATTACACGCGAACCGATGAAGCTGAGGAAAAACCTGTGGTGAGTAGGAATTGGATTATAACTGTAAGAAAACAAGCTGGATACAGTATCATGATTTGCGCGCAAAATTGGTCGTGTAGGAGCGCCGAGTGCACATACCATCACTGAAGCACCTGACCACAGGCGGAGAACAGCAGAACGATTTGCTCTCTAGCTCCCAGATTCGCCCCGGAGCTAAAAATTCTCTTCCGGTGCGGCTCACCCTATGTTATGTTCTCCAGCGATCCGACCTCCCAACACCCATTATACGGTGGGGAGAGACAGCTTAGCGACCAGTGGAAGTCCAGTTTTCCGTGCTCACTGAATCTTTCAGCTCACTTTTTTGGCACTAATTCACCCTTTACTGCCCAGTCATCCGAAATCAGGCAGTTCCTGACCGACTTTTTTCTCCGTGGGCATATTTTGCTCAAATATTGTCTCCTGGGGTAATTTGACCTCTAGAATACGAATATCACATTCGCTCAGCCCGAAACTTCCTGGCGCCCGCGCCACAGGCGCCAATGATTTGAGGTGTTTTGGCGCCGATGCCCGTGGTGCGGGCGCTAGGAGGTTTCGGGTTGAGCGGATGTGATATTCGTGTTCAGGGGGTCAAACTACCCCTGAGAGCAAGTTTTCAGCGAATTTGGTGATTTCGAGTATTTTGGCGCCGGCGCCGTGGCGGCGGGCGCCAGAAGGTTTCGGCTGTCAATGCGAGATGCGAATTCGTGTTCAGCGAGTCGAACTACCCTGGAGCCAAGTTTTCAGCAAATTCTGCCCACGGAGAAAAAAGTCGGTCAGGAACTGGCCTGATTTCGGATGGCTGGGGCAGTAAAGGGTAAATAGTGCCCTTTTTTTTCTAGAAGCGATTGAACGGATGAGCTGATCACATGGGTACCTGCGAAGGACTTATTCTGCGTTTGCAAATCGAGATTAATGTGGTCAAAGTATGAACTCGTTGGCGTTATCTCACTTACTCTTATGGTTAGAGACAAGAACAAAAACCGCTGAAAGCGCTTAAAAGAGAGCCTGTCGATTTTCAGCATTGGGTAGCATGCGTTGAAGTGGTTGACGCAGAAATACTAAGACCAGAATATAGTAGGGAAGAAATAGGTGGTAAACTGCAGTGCCACGGGCGTTTATACATCGTGTGGGCGGCGTTCCTGGCAACCGCTGCTGCTACAGTCCTTGAAACTTTGAGTGGCGATAGTGGAAAGTGGCTATAGAGCTATGATTCCCATGGCACAGAATAGACCCCACTCGTCACCAGGTCACGTTATTAATTGAGTATCATTGATTAACCTGGATATCATTATCTAACACACAACAACGTCCATTTATGGGCGAGCCTCAAGTGGAGGTGGAGCCCCACTTCTGATGGAAACGATGTTAATCACGTCATCCTCCCTGGAGGACGCCACTCATCACTTTCTCAGGGAACGGTTTCCTTTACAAATAAGGGTGGGAAAACAGTGGTACACAATACCTCCGCAAATTGCGCGTGGAATGAAATGCGTCGATACCGTGAGCGCCCACGGCCATACCATAACCCAGTTTAGGTACTCAAGATGCAGCTCTGGGCGACGCCGGTAAAGGAGAGCAACGTAAGTGCCTCTCAACCAACTACCGCAGCCTGGGTAATGGTTACTTTGTCGTAAGCGATAACTGGGAACATTGTGTGCACTCGCTGGTCATACGCGCTTAGTTCTACGCGCGTAGTTTTCTGGGACTGTGAACCCCCCCCCCCCACCCTAACCTCAACTCATAGTTCAATGTCTCGCTGATTTCGAGCGTATTTTCCTTACACGCCTTGCCATGCCAGCTGCCCTCTAGCAGCTAGTAAACGTCCTTGTCAGTCCAGATTGAATGAATAATTCTACCGTACTCACGGTGTGAGCTCGCTTTATGGCCTGTGGAGTTTCTCAATAAAGATTAATGACCACAATCCTGGATAAAAGAGCGTTCCTAGGTATAACTGCTCCATTGTTTTCAGATTTGTAGTAAAGAGCAGGTGCTGCGTAGGTATTTTTGATGATCCATGATTGACTCCGAGTCATGAAAGAGTCATTAATGTTTTATGATGAGGTGTAATAAAATGGCAAGGGATTTGGCTTTCAAAGCAACCAACCACCACTGGATCAGATGTCATGGCATTTTTTGTAAAGCAACGGTAGTTGATGTCATCTATTATGTTTTCGATATCTTTTTATGCTTGCAGTAGCAGTCAACAGAATTCATCGAAGCGGCTTTTCATGCATAAATTAATTACTCAGACTCAACCGATTCGTTTCAAAGTTTAAAGGAACGGTTCGCGATGACCTACAAAAATGCAAAAGGTTGTGTGGGAGGTTAGCGCGGTCCGCGGTGGACAACCTTGTGCCAGTTTTGCGGCGGAAAGTTGTAAGGTAAAGGAGTTATGACGCAAAGTTGCCTCAGTGACACCCCCTTTTCCAGTGACTCCGCCTCCAGACTCCGCCCTCAAAGCTAGCCTTCCTGCCATGCTACCTCACAAGTGGGGTGAAAGGACGATGCTCCATATCTCTTGCATGGAGGCGCATCAGGCCTGGATTAGGAAGAGATGAATCGACTTGTTTGGCGATTCAACAGCAGTCTGCCGCCTGTTTGCCCGATAAAACTATTCTGAGAAAAGCAGTGGTTAACATAGCTTCCAAGAGGAGTAAAAACCGCGTGCAGTGAACGGGCCACCTTAGTCCGAACACGCGACTTAATATGCTAAAACCATAGCAAAATTTTGGACGTTTAGGCGAGCAAAAAAAGATATGCAGTGGTTTTCGATCGAATATTCATGACCGCTACAGTAGTGCTTCTCGTGTATCAAGAGGGTTCCTTCGACTAAGTCATGTCAGATCGTCAGAGAAAGAGAATAAGACAGTAAATTGAAAAAAGAACAGCTTGCCGTCTCCGGCGGCTGCACTGCTTCTGCCGTGACAGGGGACAGCCTTTTATGAAATATTAGTTGTCCGGAAAGTTTGCAGCGTGCGCTTACTTTTGTTGTACATATGCGATTCAAAACTAATTCCCTTCCTGCGTTCAAAGTAGTTCATCCTGGAGAGAATTTCCTTCGCCTATCTGATGTATTATTTGCCAGGTTCGCCATAGCTTGATAACCCCCTGTTTCAAGTACTTTTTAAGCATGCTCCAAAGGAGCAACTTCCCGACGCATATTTTTCATTCGAACTACAAGACGCGGGTCAATCGCAGTCGAGACAGCTCCACAAATATTAACCAGGAAATGTGGCGCCTGAATAATGCTACGAGCGAAGCCACCGTCGCTGCAAATGTTTCGACAAATTCATCTCGAGATTTCAGTCCTTGAAGATTAACCTCGTAGCGGTCGACCCTAAATGCAATAGCCTGACCTACGGAGTGAAGGTCCGTCTTGTGATGTGGCTGACCAAATCCCAAACAGTTAGAAAGATTTGCAGAAAGCTAGGCCTTGGGCAAAAGCACTTGCCGAGGTAGGCTGAAACGCCAATGGTGGAAGGCTAATGAAACTGAGGAACACTCGACAAGGCGGGGTGCGCGCGCACAATCTTGTAGTGCCCAGCAAATCAAATTGGCGACGTCTCGAGGTTTCTTCTTTCACTGCTTTGTACTTGCGCAACAGGAAGACGACCGTTTTTGCGACGTGTTTTCACTTGGGATGAAATACTGGATCAGTATGATAACAGGAGACCTTTGTTCGCCAGTCAGACTGACATCCTGACGAACCACCGAGGCAATTTCCCAAAGCCGAATCCTCACGAAAAAAAGATTATGGTCACAGTGTGGATGGTCATCGGCTGGTGTGATCCACTATAACTTTTTGTCACAGGCCAAAACCATCACAGTGCCATGCGGGTGTACGGACAGTGGCTTTTTGAGTTGGGCACAGAGTCCTACTGTGAAGAAATCGACAATATGTACCGACATTGCGTCAGCTGTAGCAACACTTTTCAAAAGGAAAGGATTCTTTTGCATGACAACGCCCGCCCACACGTTTCACAAATCACTATCCATAAATTGAACGAATTGGGGGTTGAAGTTCTACCTCACCCGCCATATTCTCCAGACCTTTCACCAACCGACTATCACCTTTTCAAACATTTTCAGAACTTCCTTGCTGGAAAATACTTCATCAATCAGGACCAGGCAAAAAAGCCTTCTTCGTGGATTCTCGACCACCCAGTTTTTTCTTTGATGGGATTTATCGACTGGTGTCACATTGGCAAAAGTGTGCTGATTCGAACGGTGCTTATTTCGATTAAATCCGATGAGTATTAAGAAAGTTATGATCGTTTAAAGTGAAACACTCAAAACGCTGAGAACTTTCCGGACAACCTAATACAATCGCCACTTCATTCCTCAACTATTCGACTCAGCAAAAAAAAAACTTGGAACAAGCCCAAGTCGCGCGCTTTAATAGCTTCTGCTGAAAGTTTTCAAAGGTGTACATGGAAACATTGTTTGCTCAAATCAAGTACTCCTAAAAAAGCTACTCTAAAGAAGAGAGTTGGTTGATTGAATTCGTTGCAGGGACAGAATTTTGAAGATTACGGCGATGAGGCACTTTGAGGAAGGGAGGGGGACCTGCGGGTGGGGTGAGGGCTGCCAAGTGTAGGAGTCGACTTTTTTCTATATTCTTAGACGTCTGCTACTGATTAGCTTTCCCGCAGGCACGAAAAACTCGGTTGGTTCAGGCGGGAGCCGATCCGGGCTTTGAACCCCAGACCACGCTTGTGGTAAGTGGCGCCACTTGCCACTACACTATCTCCGCTTAACCAAAATTTTAATATTATTGTATTATAACATTATATTCTTAGCTTCTGACCCTAATACTGGTGTATAAGAAGAGATTAGATAGCTTAGAACAGATGAAAATGCCTTTTCAAAGCTTGTTCCAAGTTTTTTTTTCCGCCACTGCATGTCTCCACTTTTTCACGGCATAAGTCAGCTTACTGCAGGTTGTGGAACAAGCGCAGCGTGCCACACCGACCCCGACTTCCACGATAGGCACAGGATAT